CTGAGCTTGGTCTCCTCGGCTTCGTCATCCGTGCTGCCTTTGCCCTCCCCCGAGAGCAAGGACTCTCGCTCGCTGCACTGGGTCTTCTTCTTGAGGCTGGGGGCCCGGCCCAGGCTGTTCCAGCTCGAGCGGCGGCTGCCCCAGTTGGCACAGGGGGAGCTGCGGAGGCTGGACTGGGAGAGGGGAGGAGACCAGGTCAGGGCTTGGCAGGGAATCCTTGGAAGTGTAGTCCCCACTCCAGAAGGTGCCAGGCTGGAGAAGACCTCTGTCCTACTTCATCCTCCCAGCTCAAAGAAGCACCAGGGCTTCAGGGTTTCCTGGCTGGAGGTTTCTCCTCCACCTTCTTCTCAGCACCCACCTGCCCCAAATGGAGACTGTTCCCCTATCCCACACCTTCCCGGCCCTGCCAAGTGGGCTACTTCTTGGAAAAATACCAAAGATTTCTGGTCAAAGTTGAGCGGGTCCATTGAGACGTTGCTGCCCCTTCTGGAGTCCCCAAAAGGGTAGGCTGAGTCCATGTGTGGAGACCCCTTTGGGGTGGGCATGGGGGTGGCTGCTGTGTGCATGATGATGGGCGGGGGCATGCTGCCCTTGCCCTCCAGGTGGCCGTTGGGCGTGACGGCCAATGAATACATCTTCATCTCTGCAAGGGAGGAGACAGGATCTTCTCAGCAATCTCTGGGCAAACTAATCCAGAGTTGGAGATCTTTTGAAGCTACTTCTGTCCTTGAACCACTTCTAGTCCAACCCTCTGCCCAAGTAGGAGACCCTATACCACTCTGGACAAATGGTTGTCCATTTCTCTGAGGGACAAAACAGAATTTCTTGGGGAAAGAAAAAGAGAAGCAAGCAGTGAAGTCCTGGTTGGCCCCATCTTCTTGCTTCCTCTAATGACCCTCCAAAGGTCAACCTCTCCACCCAACCTGGCTGTCCAGAGCTTTGATCTTTCCCCTCGGGTGGAAAGTGAAGCCCTCAATGGCTGCCTTCCCCAGCCAGCCATCTCTCCTCACCAGAAGCATGGAGTTCCTTCAGCTTCTCAAGCTCTTCCTCAAAGTTGGTCGATGTTTTGTCTTCATCTGTGTCAGATCTGTTGGCATCACCCTGAAACGGCCCCCAAATAAAATGTCAGACATAAAATAGAACAAACAGTTGGCGAAAGATTTGCAATTACGTGAGGTGAACGAAGCTGTCTGGAGACAAAAACCAAATCTTTGTCCTAGGTGCTATAAACATTTATTTTAAAAAAGACTTATTTCACAGCTCCTTGGTTTAGCGTTCCTAACCCCTCCTGGAAAACACAAGGTCTGTTTGGAATAGGCCCTCCGGAGAGTTTGCATGCAACAATTCTTTCGACTGTTGAGCAATAATGAGATTTTTTCCAATTTCCATCCTCTACCATGTGCCTGTCCCGTGTTCTAGCTTGTTCCTCTGGTTGAGGCCCTCCCAAATTTAAATGCTGCCGATTAGAGCATTCAAAAACAGAGAACTTTTTCCTCTCTGCATAATTTCATCGATGTCCCAATTACTGGCCTATTTCTAGGCCCAGAAGATTCCAAGATCCTCTTTTTTTGGAGGACGGTGAGGATTTTAAATAGCTCATCTTTTTCTTCAAAGCCCATGTTCTACCTGCCTTTGCTTTCTTTGCCTGTGATCTCTTGTGTTTAGGGGAGCCCTTCTTGCTTGAATTTGGTGAGACGTCTGCTGAAAATGGAACACAGGAACTTCTCTAAACTTTGTTTAGTGACCATTTGAAATTACGACAGCACTGAAAAAAGTGACCTATGACCGTTTTCACGGGATGACCGTTACAGCATCCCCGTGGTCACGTGATCCAAATTGAGACGCTTGGCAATGGATTCACTTTATGACGGTCACAGCGTCCCAGGGTCACATGGTCCCCTTTTGCGACCTCCTGATGAGCAAAGTCAACAGGGAAGCCAGATTCATTTTACAAACCGTGTCACTAACTTAACAACTGCAGTGATTCACTTAAGAACTGTAGCAAGAAAGGTTGTAAAACGGAGCAAAACTCTCTGAACAAATGTCTCACTTAAGCAGGAGAAATGTTGGGCTCAGTTGTGTTTGTAAATCGAGGATTATATATACCGTTTATATATATATCGATAAGCTACATAAATTAGATAAATATATAACTAAATGAAAGGCAGTTATTTTTTCCTTTGTTGCGTGTTCTTCCATTTTAGTTGTTCAATCCTATCGATAGCAAGGCTTCTCTTTTTCAGTGTTGTGTCAGATCAACTTATATCTTAATAAATTGTATTTTTCATTTATGTTCCTTGGAATCATCTGTAATAAAAAAAATATTTATGGTTTTGAGATTTTCAAAATTTTCTAGGTCTTTGGATGAAATTTCTTTCCAGTACTTTGTGTTATTGGGGTTTTTTTTGTTTTTTTTTAATCTCACTACCCCGGATGAAAAAATAACTTCCTTCTCTGTACCATTTCCAACATTTCCTGTGACATGATTTATCCACCTTGGCAATTGTTGGTGGACTTATAGGTACCCTCCGCAGAATGTTTTGTACTAAATTTCCCTCAGATCATAGCTCGGTGTCAATGTTATTGATTTCCCCACCCCTACCCCCCAATAAATCTGCCTCAGGGCCCTTTTGAAACAGATCGAAATCCTCTTGTCCGCACAGCAGGTGTGCTTGCAAAGCTTCCTCTGATGATCAGGTGAATCAGAAATATTAAAAATGTTCAGAGAAACCGGAAGTAGAATCAGAATACAAAGCCGTAGAGTTGACACGGGTCTCTGTGGGCACGTCTAAAACCTGCGTCTGGTTGCAACCTCTGGATCTGGGGGTTACATGCCACATGCCCCACCCCCGAATGCCACTTGATCTAACCTAAGAGAGCTAAGGCGGAAGGAGCTGATGGACGGAGCTTTCCTGCTATCTAACGGCTGTTTCGGCTTCTTTCTTAAGAGGAAATGAAAAGGACATTTGCCGGACATTTAAATCACAGCTTCAAGGGGTGTCATCACCACCTCCGAATCCTCTTCCCTCCTCGGCGGTTCGCCAAGCCTATAATTACATATTTATGCCGAGCAGAGGATGGGGCTGCCAGTCCCAGTTCTGCAGAATCAGGCCATTTATGTGGCCAAGAGACTGGAAAATCTGGAAGACAACTCTTCATTACGGCTTATGCAATAATAACTTATTTTGCTGAGTAAATTAATGGGTTGTGTTCTGGTGAACACATCTGCAAAGGAGGGTTTCCCCCCCCCTCATATTTGGAGCTAGGATTCTTTGCTTCACTGGGGGGGGTTGTAGGAGGGGTGGGCAGGATGTCAACCAATTCTTGCCCCAATAAGACCCTTGGCTCTTAGACCCCACCTCCTCCTCTGCTTAGCTGTTGACTTGCAACCAACTCAAGCAGCTTGGCATCTGGAGGCCAGCAGAAACAATGGGTATTCTAGGCCTCTCTTGAAAAGATGCCCTCTCCTGCTTGTCCAGTGCCAGCCGAGCGGCCAAATGTTTCCAGATGGTAGCTGCCAACCCCAAACCCTGGGATAGAAGCTGAAGCCAAAAATGCTGGAGAATCGGCGGATGAATGGAGATCAGGAGAAGAGTGATGGATACACAGCTGTGGGGCTGGTGGAATTGTTCCTGATTGGTGGTCTCGGTTATTATTGTTGCTTATTTAGGGAAAAGCCATTGAAGAGATGGAAATGAAACTGTGGGTGGCAGATAGGGCCACCGTGTTCCCAGAAATTCTGGGCTACTATCCCAGAGAACCATGTGCTGACCTCTTCTGCCTGTTGCCCTGGCTATCTCTGAGCACAGATGTGGAGAAAATTGGGAGGATGGGTCTGTAGCACAGGGAGTCCAGAGAGACCCTGGCCAAGAACAGGCACTGGTGCAAAGCAGAGGAACAGTGTGCGCTTGTGGGTCACAGCACAGTGCATGGGGGCAGACTTGCCCTAATGACATTCCTTCAGGCCCCATAGCAGGGGTCTCCAAACTTGGCCACTTTCAGACTTCTGGACTTCAACTCCCAGATTTCTCCAGCCAGCAGAATTCTGGGAGTTGAAGTCCACAAGTCTTAAAAGTAGCTAAGGTTGGAGAGGCCTGCTTTATATGGCTCATTCTGGTATCAGCTCCTTCGAAGGCTGCAAAATATATCCAGGGCCATGATGGTGGAACCACAAGAGAGGGAGAGGTGGAGGCTGCAAGGAAGGAGAGCACCTGAAGACAACAGCAAGGCCTTTGGAAGAGAAGGGAAGGCTGAAGCAAAGTTCATCTTGGGAAAAAAATTAAGTGTTGCCATCCCAACATCCTGAAAGGATACAAGCTCCAAATTTTGGGGTTTACTTAACACCTTAACAAAAAAGGGAGAGAGAGAGAATGAGCTAGGAGAGAATTGATGGCATTTTCCCATCCCTGGTAAGCTCCATTGTTGACTGATTCTGCACTTTCTGCTTTTATCACCAATTGTTGGAGAGGAAGCCTCAGAGGGAAAGGCTGGAATTCACATGAGATGGATAGATGTGATTCTTATGCATCTCTCAAAGCCAATGGCCATGAGAATTGGGGGGGGGGGTTGACTAGAAGGCCTCCGAGGTCCCTTTCCAAGTCTGTTATTCTCTTATTAAAGCGAACGTCACATTCGATGGCACTACCACTGCCTTAGCTGCCCTGCTCATGGGGTTCCCAAGAGGATCCAACTGGCCACTTTGTGGAGAAAAGGAAGCTTGGATGAGTTTGCTCTCTAACTTATGTTTTCTAGTTATTATGAAAAGAGCAGATTTAGAGTGGCTAGAGAAGGCGAAGCTGCCAGAGCCGATTTCAAAGAATAGGAAATCAATAGTTAGCAAAAGCTCCACAACTCACAGGAATCTGGGAAAGGCTCAGACGATAATAACATTGTCAGCCGGCCTCCCCAGACAGGAGCCAACCAGAGGCTGAATTCTCAGCCAAATTGGCCAAAGGCTGGTGGGTAGCAGAGGATGAAATGAAGACACAAGTGCCACGATGGATGGAGGCTCTCTCGGTGGGAAAGAGCAGGAAGGTATAATCTTGTTACCGCAGTTGCAGTCAATTTGCCAGTAGCTAGAACTAAATGTAATGGAGCCTTTGGCCAATGATGCTGCTGCTGCCGCTGCCATTTTTAATCCAATCAGTCTGAGTTAAGATGCAGGAGTTTTCTCTGAGCAAAATCATTTCTCATGGAGGGATTCCAAAGGAAGATCTTCTTGGAAAATCTGATAGACTGGCTTAGAACGTGAAGGCAATCCCTGTCAGCAGGAGGGCAACTGAACCAAAGCCAGCCAGAGCAGATCAAGGTGGGGAGAGGAATTATTAGAAGGACTCAGGTCTTCACCCTTAGAGGAAGAACAGAATAATACTAAATACACAACAGAAACTGGGGGAACATGTGATTGCTCTCTAACGTTAGACCTATGTTGACTTAGATCCTATAAAAAATCATATCTGCCGTCTGCAGGTTCAACTTTTGAAGATTTTATTCATTGTAGGCAATGAACCAAGTGGACATATATGAGTTCTGGACAGGAAGGAATGGACTTCGGGATCAACCGAGTCTTCTCCAACCATCAGGTGTGCTGCAGGTGGGACTTTCTGCTCCATTTTGTCAGTTTTGCCTTGCTTCTCAAACTGACCTCCTGCTCTGCTTCCATTTTTTGTGAACCTGATGGCCATCTTATTTCAGCATCCTGGGCAGGCACACCATCCCCCATTCTTTGTGTGGTTACTTCAACTTATTTAGAGTAAGTCTAAATTACTCAGAGGTCGCCAGTAATGCATGGAGGAAAGTGGAAAGAAGAATTCAGGAGGAGAGCATAATTCTACCTGTTCTCCATTCATTCCCCTGACGCTCCTTGAGGACTTGTGCCTTGAAGAGCAAAGCAATTTCTCATCCTGCTGAGAAAGGCAGTTGGGCATTCGGGAGATGGTAAATGGCCACTTGGTTCTTACTGAGCTGGGAAAACATAGTAATATTCTCCTCTCCTGCCTGTGATTAAAGCCCCTCTCTGAGTCACCATTCTTCACTCAAGCAGGCTGACTGCAGGTAAGGCTCCAAGTTCATTTCCATACGCTAATGACTTCATAAAAGCTCCTTGATGACATGTGATGTGATGGGTTATATTTCTGAGATGGAAATGGGGACATAACTCTTGCTGAAAACTGTGCTATGGATTTATCTTGTAGAGCTGTCAGAAGAGGGAAAGCTTAGCAGCTCTGACCAGAACAAGTAAGAAAGAGTTTCCTGAAGGACACGTTCATACGGAGTTCTTCCAGGAAGTGCAGTTGGACATTCATATCCAAGTAATCTTCTTGATGTTGTGACTTTTGCTTTCCTGCAGTGAAAATGGTCTTCCTAGATCACTGACAATGAACACCACAGCTGTCCGTGAATTTTGATGAAAATATTTTGAAATACGTTGTCCTACCTAGACATTTTTGTATTTGTAGTCATCTTATTTAGAAGGCATCAGGGTGAGAAGCTAGTTATTTGCAGGCACATTTTGAAAAAATAATTTTGTTTAACCAAACTGCTGAGATAAGCCCAACTAACAACCATCTAATCCCAGGGCACAAAGTTCAATCATGGTCTGTTATACCTGCTGAATATGTTTAGATGATTGGGATTTATATCTGTGCCACTGAAATGAATGCCAAGTATATAAGATGTTATGACGATACGATTACACTATTCATAAATAAGGAGCTGCACCTCAACGTGTCCTTGACACCATTAAGGTCTGTGGAGTCACTCAACAAAAAAACCCAACCAGCCATTCGTGGATTCCTTACCTCGGCTTGGAAACCTTCTACCAGGATGGCGACCAAGAGGTTGAAGAGGACATAATTGCCAAAGGTCATCAGAGCCACAAAGTAGAGAGCAGCCCAGGAGGAGGTGGAGGCCATTCCATTGTAGAGGACCACATTCCAGTCTTCTTGGGTCAGGATCTGAAAGAAGCAGTTGGGACAGGAAGAACATCTGAACCCACTTCTCTCTTTTCTGGTTTCACTATGTGTTTCCATGCTTGGCTATTAGTCCTTCCAAGTGGTCTCACATGTACAGTCCTTTTGCTATAGCATCTTTTTCCTGCATAGCTCCATCATTGTGTGTGTTTCCAAGGAAAGGAGCTGGTAAGAAGCTACAACAACTCCTTGGTTGAATAATTGTTGAGCGGAGTCTCTTTCTTGTGCATGTTCAGAAAATGTACAAGATCAGACCCATCTAATTAGCAGCTTTCCCCCAGGAATGAAGGCCCATCAAGGCTTGCCCTCCCAGGAACATCGCTCACCATGAGCTGAGATTGAAGTGAGACACCAAGGACCAACATCTTCTGGACGGATCTAATTGCCACAGGTTGCTCCCCTTCCCAAACTCTCTCCCCTTATTGGCAGCTCATCTGCGGGTCAGTTGCCGAGATGAACCTTCTCTTATTTGCCTCCTGCTATTGACCAAACTGGGACCAAATCTGATTGCCACCCATCCTTCCCAGAACTAACTTCAGAGACTTCCATTTTGTGTGGAAGCGCCACAGGTAAAAAGTACATCCAATACGATACCCAGAGTCATTTTTTTCTCCTTCATTTTCCTGCTGACTCACAACGTTTGCTGAAACGGTGAGCCATTGATCATAAATGCAAATGAGGGCTTTGCGTTAGGACGGGAGACAGAAAAACTTTGTCTCTATGCAAAATAGCAAGGCTTTGATTATTGTTAACAATGGTGCTAATTAGATCAGTTTTGTTTATAGGTCACGCTTCTTCCTGTGGGCAGGTATGGAGGGTGACCAAGAATAACCCAGGAACTGAGCTCTAGAAAGCAGAAGCCTTTTCCCCCAGGCTCGCCTCATCTTAACTAGATAAGCTGTTTTCAAACCCCTCATGGAGCCAAAAGCCAGCCTTCCTTTCACCCAGCCCCCTCCCCTCCACACTTGATAATGCAGCTTCCACTGACCTTGACAAGAAGCATCAAGTTTAGCTTCGGTCTCTTTTGCACCTAATTTAGTGAGCTGCGAGACTTTGCTAGGAAAACAGTGCCAGCCTCTCTATTAGACGGACGGAGTGACAGCATAAATGACACGAAGCTGCTGTCAGAGTCTCCCAGCAGTCAATTATTTAATCCTTGGGGGTTGTTTATCTAGACAGGGGGGCTCGAAGGGGAGAGAGACTCTCAGCATTTTCCGATCTTCCAGGGAATTTTCCACTGATTTTAATCTTCTAAAGCTGTGTTTTTAAAACTCGGCCACCTTAAGACGGCTGGACTTCAACTCCCAGAATTCCCTTGCCAGCGTGTAATTTGTAATGCTGACCTACATATTGGAGGTTTGGAGATAACAGGCTGCAAAAGATGGATCTTAAATTTTCTGGAATGATTTCCAACTGGGGTTGGACCTGCCTGTCCGATGATTGACCCACCAGTGTGCAGGAGTAAGTCCACCATGCTGACTTCTGGAATAGTTACGCTGATACCTTTGGGGAGGCTCCAATATTCTGCCTTTATGAAGCCATTGAAGGGTCAGCTGGAAAGGCTGCAGCCCCTCCCTCCCTCCCCCAAAGGACCTTACCTGAAACACGGTGACAATTGCCCACAGCAGGGAATCGAAGTTCTTTCGGTCTGGCATGGTGTCTCCTGCCTCTGTCCTTAAGCCAAATTTGCACCCAAAAAGATGCATACCTAGGATGCTGTGGGGAAAGAAAAGGGGAGAGAGAAAGAGAGAAACAAAGAAAGAGAAGATGGTTGAAAAAGCAAACAGCTTATTTGAACAGGGGCTCTTATTTCATCTTGGACAGCAGTCTGAAATAACTCAGGTCAGATAATAGAAAAAAGGGAGGTTTTTTGCAATCAAAGAAGAGATAATTTTGCAATTCTATTTTTCTGCAAAGGAAATTAGAAACTTCTTCTTTCTAATTTTTCCTTTTCATTCTTTCTTTCTGCACTTTTGCTCCTTTCCTTTCCTTATTTTTTCTTTGTGCTAGTTTTTATGCCCTTTGTAAAACTTCAATCCAAAATTTGTAATTATGACATATCTCAGGTCATTGTTCCTTTTCCAGATGGTTGACTAGGAAACATGAGTGAAGTAGCGTTGTCTTCTCCAACCTGGATCCCACCAGGGCCAGGAGGAACAAAATTCCCAGAATTTCCTGACAGCACAATGGAAGACCCTGTTGACTGAGCACAAGAGAGCTGGGCCTCCCCCAGACCCCAAAAGCACCCAATTGGAGAAGCACAAAGGGTGTCAGAATTAGCCTCTTTATCTACCTGAAGTCTACAAAATCTTATTTGACTTTCTCTATAAATGTTTCACAGATTGCAAAACTCTGCCTCCCCTTTGAAGAATATTGTACTTGATGTATATTTATGGGGTGGTGGGGGGGAACCACAGTTCCTCTTCTTGAACTTTTCATGGGGTCCATGTCAACCAAGGAAGACTCTTGTCCTACTTGGAGAGGAGCCGTCCTTGGCCGCCAATGCAGTTGTCTCACTGTTGTTTGCCAACTATCACAAACAAAGGGGGAGGCCCTGTTGTGTCATGCTTGTCACTTTGCATCTTTCATTTGTCTCCTGGGTGGCAGGATGCAGAAGGAACGAGGCAGCCCGGGAGACATGGACCTGCAGAATCTGTCACTACACGGAGAGGCCATTTTTATTCCCTCGTGTTGGGCAAATGGGATCCTTGCCACTCTAATTGGTGCAGCCCCGAGAGGAACAGAAGCAGCCGGCTAACGAGGCAAGACAGGCGACGCGCCCAGCGACTCCTCCTACCTGAAGATGAAGATGAAAAGCATGAGCAGCATGCAGAAGGTGGCCACGTTGTCCATGGTCTTCATGAGAACCACCAACTGTCGGCGGAGAGCTGGCATGAACCGCACCAGCTTGAGAACCCGGAGGAGACGGAAGGTCCTCAGCACCGAAAGGCCCCCGTCGGCCTGGCCAATGATCTCCCAGACACTGCAGGATGGAGAAAGAGATTCAGGCAACTTGGGCTGTCCGACTCCTGAGCAACTGCCAGCTTCCTAATTGCCCCTGATTGCAGAGATGGCCTGGGGCACAGCTGCTTATTTTGGCCGATTGGCAGATAATGAAGTTGGGCCCAGAGAAGGTTTTTTTTCATTTGGACACGTGGTGGTCAAAAAAGGGAGATACAAGTGTACGTTCTCTAGGGACTCTCTCTCCTCCCCTCCCAGCTCTTCTGCAGATGCAGCTAAATCAACCCATCTTCCCCAAAGACAATTCGGGGAGGTGACCCCAGGGAACACCAGAAGTGGAATATTACTTCCCCAAGATTTGCTGCAGTGGTAAAAAAGATAAGCAGGCAAGGAAATTCAGCTGGCAGGCAATTTTCATCCATTCTCTCTCTCCCCCTTGCTCCAGTTTTAAGTAGAAGGATTCTTCTGAGGCAACGTTAGAAGCCAATTTACCTGATGACAACAATGATGCCGTCAAAAATGTTGTAGGGGTTCTTGATGTAACCCCAGATGCCAAAAGCCAAGAGCTTGAGGAGCATCTCCAGAGCAAACATGCTTGTGAAGACAATGTTGCTGATCTCCAGGGCATTGGTTAGCTCATCCGGCTGGGCAAGAGGGAGAAATCAAGGTAATTCAAGTCAGAATGGAGGCCAAAATACTTCCCTTGGCTATTATTCTCTAACTTCTAGTTGCAGAGGAAGAAGAGCCAAATATTTGACAATGACAATTTTATCTTGCTCCATCATGATTGTCAAGCTGAGTTATTTTTGTGAGCCTGTGACCAGGGGGATTGTTATCACAATGGAAAATAGGGTGACAGGATGCAAAATATGGAAAAGTAATAATTGCAGACAAAGTATCAAACAAGATAGGATCAAGATAGGAGAAGAATTGTCTAAAATACACATCTAGTGAATTGCAAATATTAGTAATCCAGAAGGAAGATTTTAATGTTTACCATATCCACCCACCCACCCACCCACCTAGAGATAGATAGATAGATACACACACACATGTTTTAAACTCCTTTTCTCAACCCAACACACAATCTTGCCTTGCCACAGCCTTTCAGGCCAGTTTATTTATTCATAGAACAGCTTTTCAGCCAGAATGCATGAAATATGAATTGCAGCAAGGGACATGAATAGCCACAAGGAGTCAACAAACAAAGACTGGCTGGGAAGAACATTCTTCCTCTATCTTGTCCTTGGTTTCCAAGCAACTCTTGTAAATGTTGCATTGAAAGTGATCTAATCCACTCAACCGGACTGTTGACAACAATTCAGACTAATTACGGAAGCTAACCATATTCACCAGCAAGGACTTTCCAAATCTCTTCTCTTGCGCTATAAGACAAAAAGTGAGTATGGGAAGACAGAGAAAGTTTCTTGAGCTTTCCTGCAGACCTTGTTAATTCATGAAAGAAAAAGAGCATCCAGAGTGGGAAGAAAACCATTTCCCCCCAACTTCATGCAAACCTCCCCCTATCTAATTGGCTCTGCCCTGGTATGTGCCCAGAGGTGGGTTTCAGCAGGTTCTGACCAGTTCTGTAGAACCAGTAGTGGAAATTTTGAGTAGTTTGGAGAACCGATAAGTAACACCTCTGGCTGGCCCCAGAGTGAGGTGGGAATAGAGATTTTACAATATCCTTCCCCCAGGAGTGTGGAGGGAATGGGGATTTTGCAGTATCCTTCACCTGCCACACCCACCAAGCCACGCACACCTAGCCACGCCCACAGAAACGGTAGTAAAAATATTTGGAATCCCACCATTGTCTGTGCCCCAGCTGAAATGTGAGACACCTTTGCAACTAAATTTCAATGTGGTGTCAGTACAAAAAGGACTATACAAAAAAAAAAGGGTATTTGGGAAAATAATGTATGAAAAAAACCCAACATGTAAGGAAATAAATGCCTTAGAAAAATAAAGACCTCTTTTGTGCAGAAGTTGGATGTGATGGAGATCTGAACACTGCAGGTTATGCTCCCAGCCAAGAAAGGGGTTGATTTATTCTTCTTTAGGGCTGACTAATCTCCATATCTCTTGGCTAATTTCCTAAGATCTGGCAGTCTGTTCCACCTTCTCCTGCTCAGGAACCCCAAGCAGAAAAGGGAATTTGGGGGTGGGGGGGTGGGGAATGCCTTCTTTTTCTGTGTTCATCATCCACAAAGCAGCGTGTTGAGAACCTGAAGGAACCAGATTGATCAAGAAGTGAGGGATGTGGGAATTAATGCCCAACGGAGCGAGGAAAAACAAGGGCTCAGTTTGAGATGTCATGTAGATGTCAGAATGACAAGAAGACAATCCCGGATTAAACAGAAGTGGAGAAGGGATCATTGTGGGCTTTTTTGGGGGGGGGGTGGGGTTTGCAAAGAAAGGTTTCATTTCTACCCTAACTTTTCTGCACGTAGGGAGGCAGCCTCGTCTTGTACGACAGCCAGACTTCCTTGCATGGAGAACAAGCGTAGATGATTGCATGGTGTGTTTGGTTGGGTTCCAAGCCTGCAAGAGAACCTTCCAAAGACTCCGTGGAATGGCAGGCTTGGACCCGTTTCTCCTTACAGACAAAAGGGGAGTGATTAAGCAGACAATTCGCCACAATTAGCCTGGGACAAGCAACACAGGAGGAGGAACTCCATGAGTGTCAATCTGTTTGGAGGAGACGCACAGCGGTGACAGGATAGCTACCCTTCTTGGCAGAAATGCCAGAAGAAGTAAATTGCAAGAGGGGTGAGCATGCAAAACCAGTGCTAGAGTAACTCAGGTTTTCCCAGTCTTGGGAACTTTAAGACATGTGGACTTCAGCTCCCATTCTATGTAAAGGAGACAATAAACCCAAAAGGGAACAAAAAGACCCCCAAAACACCTCCCCACCAGCACCCAGATGAGCAGAGATTAACTCCAGGATTAACATCAGACCAACCATCCAGAAGTAAACAATAGGCCAACCAAGGAACTGCCAAAAATCCCCAACAGTAAACGGCCCAAACAAAGAACCCTTAAGACCACCCCAGCCAATACTAACAGGGCAAGCCACAGGGATAGAGCAAACCCCACTCCCTACTAGCACTGATGACGTTTCCTAGTTGGGTCAAGAAACGTTTGCAAGAGAATTCAAGCTCCGAGAGCACCAAGGACCCTTCGCTTCAATCCTGAGCTACAAATGTTCTCCTTTATCGGAGTCAAGTTGCATTCTGAGAAGGCAAAGCCAAGTCAAGAGAGAAAGACTCTGCTCCGAAGAGAATCGGGTGACCCGCTCAAGGCAATGGATCTGTAGCAATGGGTCCCATTCTGGGATCCAAGGGTGGAAATCAGCGCACAGGCACCACCCTAGAATGCGTTCCCCCTTTTGCCTTCTTCTCATCAGGACACAAGCTTGTCCTTTTAGTAGGGATTGCGTGTAGACCAGGACGCTAAATGAGACTCTGAAGCAGGATTTCCCTTCCCTTGTTGAGCCCTGGGATGGATGTTGTGGGCTATAAAAGCCCTCGCTTGCCTCCCGTTGAAGCGCAGATTAAACCTTTTACTTAATTCATGGAGCTCTGCAATCTCTCCCATGACTAATCTGTTTAACTAATGAATTACTTTCTGGCCACCATATTAGATTTCCAGTGCATGTACATCATTAAGGAAGTAAGTGCTTGATAGAACACCCCTCCCCCCTTTTTAAAAAAAATACAAATACAGGAGATTAGAAGAGGGCTCAGGTAGGATTAACTAAGCCCCCTTCCCACCCCACCCCACCTCACCCCACTCCACCTCTCTTCCATTTGCTGGAAATCCTTTAAAAGGGTTTCCACTCTTGGGTGGGTGAGGAGCTGAATTAATGATCTGGTTAAAAGAAGGAGGCAGGGCTTTGAAGCGCTGCTTAGCGCCCAGTCAGATCCTAGAATCGCAGAGCATGCTAAAAAAAAACAAAACCTGAAAAGAAAGGGGAACAAATTCAATAATTTGAGCTAGTATTGACGGAGGCCCAGAATGGCAGGTTGGGTTCTCTTGGGGATGTGACTTTTGGAGTTTCAAAGCTCCTTGCTACCTACTTGTTCTGGAAAAGAGAAAAGGAGGTGATTGTGTTTAAACATGGCAATGTATTTTTCTATGTGTGTGTTTTTTTTAAAAAAGATATTTCACTTCTCATCCAAAAGCTTCTTCAATTCTGACAACCATGACCTGGATGACTGAGAATCTCCATAGACATTTAAGACTTGTGGACTCCAACTCCCAGAATTCCCCAGACAGCATGGAGAATTTGGGGATTTGAAGTCCACAAGTCTTAAAGTCACCAAGTTTGGAGAGCCCTGGTCTTGAATATGGGGCCTGATTTCCAGCTAGGTTGGTTTTGGGGTGAACCAACTGCTTCCTCGCATTCTTTTTTTTTTTTAATCATGTTTTTTATTTTATAAACAAACAAACATACAATACATTCAGTGTATCGTCTGGGTGCTTCTCCTGTGTCATCGTCTTCTTCTTGCTCCTCCTATCTTCATCATTTCTTGATATTTTCTATTCATTTGTTATAATATTTTCCACACATTATTCATTTATTATAACATTCTCTTGCTTACTATTACTACATTTATCTATCTTCACTCTCCCCTTTCTTCTTCCATTGTTTTATTACATTTGCTCTCTCTATTTATACCTCTTCTCTAACCAATGGTAAAATTTTCTCCATATCTTAAAATATTCCGACTCCTCTCTTTAATGATCAAAGTCAGTCTATTCATTTCTGCACAATCTAATATTTTCTTAATTACTTCCCCTTCTGAAGGGATTTTTTCTGCTTTCCATCTTTGTGCAAATACTATCATCGCTGCAGTTATTACATGTATAATCAAATATATATTTTCTTTACTAATTTTCTCTCGCATTCCTGTCCCTTTAACTTTGCTGAGGAACTAACTGAGACCCTGAGGGGACCTCCCTCCCTCCTTAAGGCAGGCTTCCTAGCCACACTCGGGACTCCCGGCAAGGCACTGAGGCTCTGCTCTCCCCATTTCTCAGCCTCACTTGACATAAAGCAATTTTATTTCAAGTGGTTTAAATGCCAGGCTGGATTAGATCAATTACCACCTCCCCTGAGCGGGCAGGAAGAATCGGGAGAGACGTTCAGGAGATGCTGCTACCTGAAGCTTCTCTTTCTGGAGAACAGAGGCTAAATCAGGGGTGTCGAATTCTGCCAACTTTAGGACTTGTGGACTTCATCACCCCAAATTTCCCAGTGGTAGCCTTTGGGGGAGAAAATGGCCTTGACTTCTTCTTGTCTTTTCTTTCATGGTCTTTACCCAGAAATCCACCCCGTCCATTTTTGCATTAACCTGCATATCGGTTTAAAGGAGGACGTCTACAGACAAACCCACAAAGTTTCTTTGGATCTGGGAAGATTTGGCGAGTGGAAAAGAGGGCAAGCCACCCTCCACTGGGGTCACTTTCACAAGTGGCCTCTGAGATCCAAGAGAAAAACTCAGTTTGATTCAGAGGATTTAAATAAAGATTTATGAGTTCTGCAAGTTGTCCTTTAAAAAAAGAAAGAAAGAAAGAAACCCCAAATCCAAATATTTTGGCCTTTGCAGGAAAGGAATTCCAAACCTCAGACTGTTGGCTTGCTCTTTTCAGCACTGTTTCCAAAAAGACAGAAGAGGGAGGAAGGGAGGGAGGGAGGCCTGGGGGAATTCAGAATAACTTCTTGCTCTTTGCAGCATGTTGAGACAATAACTTTGGTCGACCAACAGAGAGATCAAAAGCCATTCTGGTTGCCATTGTTTACTCTTCCAACTTCCAGGGTGCTGGTAATGTTTAATCAAGCAGGGAGGCCACAGAGATCCCTTTGGCCAAGCCGTTACTCATCCCGAGGAATAGACTTTTATGGAGATTCTTTCTGGCAGGGGCCGCTTGGTGGCGGGTGGGACAAAGAGGAGGGGGAGGCTGAAGCTGGAGGGTGTGCCAGAACAAAGGGTTCCTTGGTTCAAGCAGCCCATCAATTAGAGAAGAGGTCAAGGAAATGTTGGAAAAGTCAACTGCCTGTGAATGAAGGGGAGGAGAGATGGAGAAGGACCTGCTGAGGGATGAACTTCAAAGGATAACAGCATTGGAAGGGACCTTGGAGGTCATCCAGTCCAACCCTCAGCTCGAGCAAGACAGTCTATACCATTTCAGACAAGTGGCTGTCCAGTCTCTTCTTAAAAGCCTCCAATGATGGGGCACCCACAACTTCTGAAGGCCCAGAAGTAACCCAGAATGATTGTTACTTCGCTTAGCAGAAACTTCCCTTAATTTTCTTGAGGCTCCATTGCATAAATAAATAAGCAGCCCTGGAAAATCATATCTGTTTTAGAAAGCATGGACTCAGCCACACACACAAAAAGAATACCTTCCATCTCTATTTCATATCGCATTTCAATAACCCATGGTTAATATTTGTAAGCATGTCATGGATCCTCAAAGAAAGGGAGGCCTGATCTCCACACAGGAAGGAGGGAGGGAGGGAGGGAGGGAGGGAGGGAAGGAAGGAAGGAAGGAAGGAAGGAAGGAAGGAAGGAAGGAAGGAAGGAAGGAAGGAAGGAAGGAGGTAAAGGGAAGGAGGGAGGATATTCAGTCCTAAGGTGATCTCAAGGACCTGGTGAAGAACAGGCTGTATTCAACCTCCATCAGAATTTCTATAAAGAGCAAAGAAGCTGGTATGATGTTTGAGATCCATTTGCAATTAATCTGAACTGATAAGGCTAAACTGATCTGGTTGGGATCTGTGTTAGATAGCCCCCTCAGCTCTTGGTCCCCCTTCCTGGAGTGGCACCTTCTTTCACCCAAATCATCAAGGACCCAGGGAGCAATCTTGCAATCCAAAGCAGCAGATGGCATTCCCACAGAAGCTTGTGCCACTCCTGGGACCAGGTTACTGATAGAGCTGTCACCGCCGCTGAGCCACCTCGTCCTTGGTTGATCGCTCCAATCAATCACAATTGGATCAAAGCGTAAAGGATGAGATTCACAGGCGAGCGATTGCATCTCAAAACTCTGCCTTGCCAGGTAGAATTCTCCATTTCCGCAACCTCCCTCTTTCCTCCCATTTGCTGAATTACATTAAACCAGATTACATTACATTTCATTAATTCAATTTAGGCCCTGCCCAACTCTGAACTAATTCTAAGTGATGTCCTATGGAACCAGACAGAATAGAAAATACAACGCAATCATTTTGAAAGGAAAAAGAAAAGAAATGGAAGAACAGTTTCTTCCTTTGGAGAAATCAGCAACTGGGCTGGAAGGAAAGAATTGGCTTTCTGGCATTTGGGATCTCCAAAGACTTAGCTTGCTCAAGGGCTTGAGGGCAAAGATCTCAGTTTGAAATGCACCCACTCCCCAAAGAAAAGCGGGGGGGGATCAAGCTGATGAGTTTGATACCCTTTTCCATCCTTGAGCTTGTGCAAAAGTCTTGTGCTAACCAGGCATTCAGTTGTGGGAGGCTACACAGAAGCTATTCTGGATCAACCACAAAGCTCACGAGGGCTCCCGGCCAGTGACTAATTATGGGATTGTTAACCTTACATGAAGTTCAGTTAAAAGGAATTCTGAGGTTTGAGAAATGTCCCACTTGCCTTTCAGAGAATGTGGGACTCCTATATGCACCAGTTCCCCCCTCTTATTTCAGCCCCACATTAACCTTCTGAGGTAGGGTATTCTGTGAGAGAAGAGATGGGCCAGGATCACCCACTCAGCTTCTGGAGATCAGGGTGGACTTCAACCAGGTCCCCACTTTAACTTTTTCCCTTCTTGCAAAGACACATCGCCTTCTTGTGTCTTCTCTCCCCCAACTGGCTTTGCCTTCACTGAGGTCTTCAGAAGACCCAAACTGATTGGTTGCTCAAGGCAGTGATATCCTATCATTCATTCAAGGATCTCTGATGGGTGGGCTCATCCTTGCATCTCCTCCAGCAAAGACAAACAAGTTGGAAGCAGAGGGGAAGATTTCACATCAAGTGAATTCCAACTCTCTCCCCAAACTGCAGACAAAGGGAAGGGCAGCTTTGTCCAGCCACAATGACCCAGCTGTGCTTCAGGGATGACTCATCCCCTTCTAGCCAACTGGCCTTCATGAGATGCCAGCATCTGGAACATGGTGTCCTCACCGTTAAGACATGCTCTTGGATACCACAGCATCCCTAGCCTTAGTGTGAACAGTTTGGACTTCTCTTCCCCTGAATTTCTTTTTTAAATGAAGAACTTCTCCGACCCAGGAAAAGCAAATTATTTATTTTCATCCAGGAGAAGTTATGAAAGATTATTCTGGAAGAGTTGCTGGTCTTCACACAACCGTGAGGAAGAGAAGAGGATCCTTCTCTTAAGCAAGACTAAGAATAGGTATGAGATCAGACAATGGCCTCTCCTGAGTTTGACCAGCTAAGCCAACCTACCTCCTTACCTGTTCATGATACTCAATGCCCATGCTCAGCGTATTGATGAGGATGGCGATCATGATCCCACGGTTGAAATACTTGCTCTCCACGATCCGTTTCAGCTTGCTGCCAAAGGCCTTCCAGAGCTTGGTTATCTTGTTCCTCTCCTTGGCTGGTTTCCTTTTCTTCTTTTTCTTGTTCCTCTGCTGCTGGATCTGGTCCCGTAAGTCCCCATGTTTTACATCCTGGGTGAACTCATAGATCCCATTGTTGTCTTCTCCTGACTCATAGCTGTCTGCCTCACTGAACTCAAACTCAGGATCCTCCAGGATGCTGGCACAGAATGGGCAGTTTTGCAGCTCACAGCTCAAGGTGTTGGCTTGGGGCCCTGGCAGAGGACACGGCACGTTCAAGCCAGACAGAATGCTGGAGGTCCGGCAGAGGCCTGCAATGGAAGGAGAGTGTTAGACACTTGAGGACTTGGGTAGGTCCAACAGAAACGAAAGTGCAAACCAAACAGAAAGCAAAGATGTCTACAAGCACAGCAACCAATTTAATAAGGAGTAACCCTATGAAGTGCCTTTAAACATCTCCTTTGGGGGGGGTTTGGTCTTCTGGCGTCTACTCAGTGCCAAGGCCATGAGTACTGGAAGAAAAACAATGTCATATTGTTCAGATGACTGTGGAGGTTAGTGGCTTTCAAATGTTTAGAGTATGTAGTAGAAACTCCAGATTCAGAGGTGATCTGGGGTGGTGAGATTGAGCTTGGACGAGACCTTCCGCTGCACCAGCAGAGATCTTCTACTGAGCTTTTATCCCTAATCTTTTTTGATCTCTGCTTTGGATCTAAGTCTAAATTAGGTCACTGAAGCCATTTTTCTTACCACGTTCTCCCACTAGATGATGGAGCTTCCCATAGCAATCTGCATTCAGATGGGCTGGGCTGCTGACCACGGGCACGGGAGAGGCCGCCTCACTGCCCTCATTTTTCTTCCCCTTGGACAAGGGAGGGACACTGGCTTTGTTTGCTGGAGAAGGCAAGATGGTGGGGTAGTTCATGCTGCCACGATTGGCAGTTTTGCTACCTGCAGCAATGCTGGAAGACTTGCATTTCACTGAGGTCCCTTCCACGTGGCAGTCGGCATGGTAGATACTGCGGATGGACTCTGTATCTGCAGCTCCACCACTTGGGCAGCTGGGTGAAGATGGAGGAAGCATCAGTTGGCTTCCAGGCTTTATGACGTCCAACTCCAGGTCACAAATCCCTGGGTTGGCCCTTGGCCCTTGGGGGCTCCCGTTGCTGATGTGGTAGTGGTGGTGGTGGTGGTGGTGGTGGTGGATCAAGTGATGGATGGACGTGATGCGCCGCTTGCCACTCTGGTGGCCCTGAACATCGTCTCCGCCGCTGTTGGGGTTGACTTTTTTCCGCCGCTTGCTCTGCCAGTTGTTGTAGAGGCGCAGGGCCCTCCGTTTGACTTTCCTGAAAATGTGGCAGATGTATTTGAGGAGCTCTTCGTAGCAGCTTCCCGGCTCGGAGAAGCTGGCGATTGTGCTGTCATTGGAGAGGTAGCGGGCTCGCTGCTCTTGCATCAGCTGGTTCTCCCGCTGTTTGGTTTCAGAAAACTGTGTTGCTATCACAACCAGGCACAAGTTAATCATGAAGAAAGAACCAACCTGGGAGAGCCAAAAGAAGACAGAGAGCACTTGAAGATGGAGGCTACCGGCCGTGCTCGCCCCACACCCATCAAAGGACAAGTGGCTGCGATAGAACACCATGCAGTGCTTGGCTAAAGTTGACCTTGGTCAACTCTTCATGACTGGGTGTGTTGGACTGACCTAACAGGAATGGGCAATCAAGGAAGTAGAGTGACCCAAAGAAAGTGTCTATGGAGATTCCCAGTCATCCAGGTCATGGTTGTCCCAAAGGTGCTTTCTTAAACAGCTATGCTGGCTGGGGAATTCTGGGAGTTGAAGTCCACAAGTCTTAAAGTTCCCAAGGTTGAACATCTCTGATTTAGATTGAGAAGACCCAGGAATGTTAAAAGCTGATAGTCAGCCGAAAAGGACCATCAAGAGGGGTACTTGTAAAATAGGAGTGGGGATTCAATCAGGT